ATATATATATATATATATATATATATCATATTAATGAGCCTTTAATTGCCTATAGCCTAATAAGCGGTAGTGGATGTACCTGTATGCAGTTTCATACAGATTACATAATCAGAGAATATTTGTTTTCCATTTAAATGTGAAATTCACTCTCCATAGATATATTTCTCATGCAAGGCAAGCATACACAGAGTTTGAGAGTTTCGCGCTCAAGTTCACAGAGACAGAGACGGCAGAAAGCGCACACTGTTTGCTTTCATTATTTTACAAAAGCGCAACATTTCGTTGTTATTCTGAGTGCACACAAATAAACGTAGAGTCTTTACAGATTCGAAAGATGTATTACTTTTATCTGTATGACCAAAGTATGAACACGTGAGCGCACCGGCGCCTCAGACACTTGAATAACGCACATTGTTCTAGATTAACATTAGATTGAGCAGCCAGGTAAAGTTGCTACTACATACATATTTCAGATGATAAGCCATATTTGAGGTTGATTATGATAGGCGAGCATTTGATGTACTGTATTACCACACAGCTGTTAATAATCTGTCCGTCACGGACTGCGTGACTTTGCCTCTTCCTGTGGATTTATTTTTTCTGCGACTAATAAAATATAGGTCGACCAAGCCTCTTCTCGTCGACTAACAGTAAGTCAACTATTAGGGGGCAGCCCTATTTATTTCCACAACTTTTTGCCAGCATGATCTGAATATGATCTGAGCCAATTTTGGTGAAAATCAGACAAACAGTCTAGGACGAGTTTGAAAAAGCAATTTTTTTGAACTATTAAAAACAGTAAAAAAATTAAATCTTACGATTTTTTAATTTTGGTGTCCATTCGACTCGGCATGAGCCAAGGATTCAGAGGAAAACAATACATTTCCTTCTAGACCTAAACATGAGTGAAATTTTGGACAAGTGGTGGCGCTAGAGGGTTGGAGTTAGAGACTCCAAACTTGCTGTGGTTAATGTTGAGACTGTCCTCTATCAGTGCGCCAAATTTCATAACTTTCCCGCAAGCAGTTCTATGGCTGCCATAGACTTCCAGAGCGGAAGAAGAAGAAGAAGAACGCCAACGGATACAATAATAATACAACTTATTATAACATTATTTTAAGGAACATATATTTTTTGTTTTTGTTTCAGTAATTTTAAAACGTTTCATTTCATTTGATTACTTTAAAAACTAAACATTTTGCAGGGCACTATTATTTTTAAAACTTTAATAAACTATTCAGTTGTATACGTTTCGTGAATTCAATTGATTAATCATCCTTTTAGATTAATAAAATTTAATAAAACCATTAAGACTTTTAAAAATTAAAATGGAAAACACAGAATTCAGGAAAAAATAAAACATTTGATAAGGCTCTAGAAGTGCTATTGGAGATTCTTGAGGATACAGCAGCACTGTCACTAACCTGTTCCGCCAGCGCCGGTCTGCACCTGCACAGGTAACGCTGCAGGGATGGGCACCAGCTGGATCATCTGGCCGTTAAACTGACACATGTTCACCCCCGTCATACCTGCGACCGGCTGCAGAACCACCTGCTGCCCCGGCGGAAGAGCAGAAGCCGGGAGAACCGTCTCAGCGCCGGAGAGGGGCGGGGCTACAGTGTTTGAGCCACGCCCAGGGTTACGTGATGATGTGGGGTTCAAAGCTGCAGGAATACATCTGATGCCATTAGGAGCCCAGGGCATCACCGGAGATCGGGTAATGGGCATTTTGAATGAATGAGCTTGGCTCACTAAACAAAACAAAGTAAAAGTAGTTTACAGATGATATATACAGTACAGTGGTGGCCAAAATGATTAGAACACTAGTATTTTCAGCAGCTAAAATGGTTTTAAGGCAGTTATTTCTAATTTTTAGTTTCTGAATGAATCCCCATCTTTGAACGAATTGAGTGAGTTAATGATTCAGTGACTCATTTGTATAGAGTCACTAGCTGCATCCGAAATCGCATACTTCCATACTATATAGTAGGCGAAAAACAGTAGGCGAGGCGAGTAGTACGTCCGAATTCATAGTATTCGAAAAACAGTAGGCGAGAAGTACCCGGATGACCTACTACTTCCGCCCGAATTCCGTAGCATGCATAGGATGGACACTTTACTATCCCATGAGGCCACGCGAGAGGAGGCGCCATATTCGAGAACGCCAGAAGGCGGCGACGCAGCTCTCTTCAAGTGTAAGTACCTCAGGGAAAAACGTTGTTCACTGTGGTTAAATTGCACTTGTTTAACATGATCTAAGTGAACGGCTGACTTATTGAAAGTTTAAACATTGTAAGTCGATGAGATGATTTCGTGAGTCGGCTGTAAAAAGATGTTTAATCG